TCCAATCCCATTCCCCCCCTCCCCTGCTTTGGGTCTAACCTTGCTCCCTCCCCACACCCCCGCCACTTCGGGTCCAACCCCACTTCCCCACAACATTCTTATAGGCAAGCTAAGGAAATATGGTTTGGATGAATAGACTGTAAGGTAGATAGAAAACTGATTGGATCATTAGGCTCAGAGGGTAGTAATCAATGGCTCAATGTCTAGTTGGCAGCTGGAATTAAGTGGAGTGTACCTGGAGTTGGTCCTGGGGCCAGTTTTTTTCAATGTCTCCATCAATAACCTAGAAGATGGCACAGAGGGCACCCTCAGCAAGTTTGCAGATGACACCAAGCTTGCAGGAGTAGTCAATATGCTGGAGGGTAGGGTGAGGATTCAGCAAAACCTAGGCAAATTGGAGGATTGGAGCAAAAGAAATCTCATGAGGTTCAATAAGGACAAGTACAAAGTCCTGCACTTAGGACGGAACAATCCCATGCACCAGTACAGACTGGGGGCTGACTGGCTGGGCAGCAGCCCTGCAGAAAAGGACCTCAGGTTCACAGTGAACAATAAGCTGAATGTGAGCCAACAATGTGCCTTTGTTGTCAAGAAGGCTAACGGCATCTTGGGCTGCATTGCTAGGAGCACTGCTAGCAGATCAAAGGAAGTGCTTATTCTCCTCTATTCAACACTGGTGAGGCAACATCTAGAATACTGTGTCCAGCTTTGGGGCCCCCATCACAGAAAGGATGTGGATAAATTGCAAAATGTCCAGCACACGGCAACAAAATGGTGAAGGAGCTGGAGGACATGAATTCTGAGGATAGGCTGAGGGAACTGGGTTTATTTAGTCTAGAAAAAAGAAGACTGAGAAGGGATTTAATAGCAGCCTTCAACTACCTGAAGTGGGGCTCAAAAGAGGATGGAGCTGGACTGTTCTTAGTGGTGGCAGTCTATGACAGAATGAGCAGCAATGGTCTCAAGGTGCAGCAAGGGAAATTTAGGTTAGATATAAGGAAAAACTTTCTCACTAGGAGGGTAGTGAAACATGGGAACAGGCTGACCAAAGAGGTTGTGGAATCTCCATCCTTGGAGGTTTTTAAGACCCAGATAGACAAAGTCCTGGCTGGGATGATGTAGTTGGGGCTGGTCCTGCTTTGAACAGGGGTTGGACTAGATGTGACCTCCTGAGGTCCCTTCCAACCCTAATTTTCTATGATTCTATATGGCTAAAAGCTTTATAAAATCACATGTCAAAATATAAAAAGTAAATATCTATAAATTGTGACTGGTTTGAATCATTTTGTTTATTCATCAAGGAACAGCCTGGTGGGCAGGGACCAGAAGAGGAAGGCAGCAGTATTCCCAGAGCTCTGGGAATACAGGGAGCGGTGGCGGTCACCCTCTGTGTCCCCATGCTTAGTCAGCCTGGCCTGGCCTGGACAGGATCTTGCTGCCAGCGGGCTGGAGCCTTAAACACTCATGCTCATACTCATGTTCATACTCTTCCCCTTCTGCTATCCCCTCCCCATCTGGGCTAAGGGTAAGTGTTTGTTTAAGTAGCCTTTTATCTCCCTCCAGCCTGCTGCCGCACCTGTGAACAAGTGGCTAATTGCTGATGCATCCATCATTGGACTTCAACAGAGGAGAGCTTTGCAGAAGCCTGGTACAAGTGGCCTCATGCTGGGAGTAGCCTCAGTAGGAGGCATCATTGCCCCTGGACTCATCACTATGCAGCAAGTTGTGGTGCAACGTGCACTGTCAGCATCTTAACAGCTGCTCCAGCTGGGGATAGTTGAGAGGGTCCCTAATGTCACAACCCAATTAATTAGTGCCCATGCCACTAGCAAGTGATACCATTCAGACCATCTGATCAACTAAGGGTTAAAAGGAATCCTTACAAGAAACTTAAATTTCTACCCACGTCACAACCAAGAAATGAAACTTAAGCCCACTAACAAGAAATAAAACTTAAGCCCATGATTTATGATCGGTCAGAGTGAAAGGGGACACCCCTGCAATAAAACCCTGGCGAAAACTGCTGTATAATTGGCGATTCTAACACAAACCAAATGACGTGGCATAAATCAATTGGTTATATCACAAACAAAACCAGCTTGCACTTCCGCGCTAGTTGGAGAATTTTGAACATACGTAGCAGAGTAACTTGGTGGGCTGATCGTCCATCAATCACTCCCCGTCATCGCGGTCCCGACGTACCCCAACCCCCCTGCAGGCTCATCCGGTCATTCACGGTATCTCATTCGTCATAAACGGTTGATTGTAACCTGAGAAACACGCTCGAATGTAAACAACGCAAGCCTTCTGCCTGCATCGCACGTCACTATCTGGGCGACGTAAGTAAACAATCTCCTATAACCAACATGCGTCTGTGCCTGGTTAATTTCACCCCATCCATTAATTACCCGCCTGTCAAGGTAAAAGTTTTACTGCTCCGGTGGGGGGAGTCAAAAGCAGCTGCCGGCCGGCTGCTCTGATTCCCGACACCTAAGTCTTATTAAAATATTTCCTATTTGTGTTGCAGACTCTGAGGAGCCCCATGGAAAGTGCAGGCAGACCATTAAAAAGTTTTTATGCCCAACTGGGAAGTTAATCTAAATGAATCCAGAGGGAACCCAACTCAGTCCAAGTTCAAGGAGCAGGAGCAGAGGTAGGGCTGGAGCAATGAACAGGGATTTAAAATAGTCCCAGCTGTATGTGACCAGGGTCCTTCTAGTCCAGAGTGCAGAAGAGGTCAGCCCCAGCTATAAAGGAAGATAGCATGCTCTGAGATTGGGCTCAGTTACCTAATCAGAGACATTTTTCCAGCATGGTTTTAGCTGAATGTGTTCACTGGATAGTGTTTGATTACTTCAAAGAGGCTCCAATCCAGTCCACCTCCAATCCACCTGCCCCACCCTCCAGTGCCAGCTGTGCAACCCCCAGAATGAGCTCCCTCCATGCCCTTCCCCCCGTCCCATGCTGAAAACAGTGCCAGAAGCAGAGCTGGCCTGCGCCAGCTTAGCCTGGCTCCTGGCATGCACAGACATAAGTTAATGAAAGCACTCCTTTTCTGCAGGGCTGCTGCCCAGCCAGTCAGCCCCCAGCCTGTACTGGTACATGGGATTGTTCTGTCCTAAGTGCAGGACTTTGTACTTGTCCTTACGGAGTGCTTTTGAGTGCCTCATGCAATGAGTTGGGTTCTCTCAATGCAAAAACTTTTTAATGATCTGCCTGAACTTTCCATGGAGCTCCTCAGAGGCTGCAGCAAAAACAAGAAATGTATTTAATAAGACCTAAGTCCTTTCTCAACTGTCCCCAGACAGAGTAGATGCCAAGATGCTAACAATGCCCAATGCACTACAACTCAGGGTCTAATGAGGAGTCAGGAGCATTAATACATCCAATTCAGGCACCACCTCTGCTGGGGCTGCTTGTGCCAGGCATCCACCAATATCACCTTTGTTGAAGTCAGATGAGGGATGTCTAAGCACAGAGCCTCTGTCAGAGTCACTCAGGGGAATCACACACACAGCCCAGGGGTTTCCTGAGAGGGCTGAAACAGGGAGAAAGAAAAATCCAGACCAGAGCATCAGCTTAGTCAGGTCAGTGTCCTGACCTCCCACCTTAGCCAAAGTTTCACAAGCCAGCTAGCCTAATCTGCTCTATCTCTTTGTTGCAGCTCAGGCACAAGACAGGTTTGGGGCATCCAAAATATCTGCAAAACATCACTGGCTTGCTACTCCAGCACTCCACACCCTTTCCTATGCTAGTTCACAGGCCAAATGGACCAGTGCCAGTTTCGTACAACGCCATAAGGTTGGGCAATTACTTTATCACTCATTGGGCATGTCTACATGTGCACAGTTACTGCACTATAATTTAACTTACTGTGCAGAAACCAAAACATAGTGCACAGTATGGGCATGCATCTACATATTCACACCCATACTGTGTAGTAACTATGGTGACTTAGGCCAACTTGGATATAAATTTGCTATCTGCATGATGCAGGTAGAAAATTTACACCCAAGTAGTTGCTGCAGAGTAAGGCATGTGTAGACACCTTACTGTGTAGTAATACTGTGTGTGGACTGATTTAGGACTAACTTTAGTCCACACATAGCGTTACTGCACTGTAATGCCTAAACACGTAGACACCTGCCTAAAAACTTCTTACTGCACAGTAATTTACTGAGCAGTAAATTACTACACAGTAAATGCATGTGTAGACCTGCCCACTGCCTCTCAACACCAGAGGATTGGCCAGAAGCCCAGAATCCAAGAAGCTTTGCTGTCAGTTGACTGGCCAGCCAGTGCAGCAGATATTCTACTGAACCATGGGTCACCAAGGATTTGGGGCAACAGGCTGCTATGGGCTGATAGTCACCTCTCCAGTTTCTAAGCTGCCTGCTGTCACCATCACCTCCATTCTTTGCAGTACAAACACATGATTCCCAACACTGCCACCTGGGGTGCAGGGGTGGGGGGCTGAATTTGTTGGTGATGGTAGGCATCTGTTGTAGGAGAGATAGATCAGAGGGGAGGGCTGTAAAAGTGAGATGCTGAAAAGGGGTGCAACAGTACTATGCAGGGCAATGAAGTACCGCACACTGGGCCAAACTGCATACTGCTGACCCCCTGTGCTACTACAGCAATTTCCAGTCATTTCACAGGCTAGAGCCATTCAACAGGCCAGAGGTTAATGACCCCTGTACTATACCATATAATGCAGAGCTGGTGTAGCACTCCCTAGCCCACTGCAGAAGGGCAAAACTCTTTAACCAGGAACCCTTGGCTTTAATCTGATCAGGAGCACTCCAGGCTTGGCTGTAGCCCACATCCAATGCTTCTGAAGAAGGTGACAAAAGCCCCCTAGCACTTGTACCAGCAAGAGGGGGAACAATTCCTTCCAGGCACCACATGACAACCAGAAAAGCCCAAAACATGGAAAAAATGAATCACTCTGTTCTGTTCTGCCACCTGGGGACAGTAAGCATGACTCCACACAACACACCTTGTCAGTGGACAGCCAAAGCTCCTCTTTCTGTCTTCTCTCCATAAACTTCTCCCAGCTGCTTTTATCTTCTTTCATAACTAAGACAGGTATGGAGTTGTGTTTTACTCCCTGCTGAATATGCTGCTTTCCCATGCCCACATCATGGGCGACTGGTGCCTCCTAAGATGGGGGGGGGGCACTTGCCCCCCCAACAGCCACTCAGCAACCGGGGGTCCCCTGTGGCTGATCACGCTGACCTAAAAGTGCCAGCGACATGCCTGGAAGTGCCAGGGGTGTGCCCAGAAGTGCTGGCAACACTTCTCCTGGTGCTCCCACTCCTTGGCCAGTGCTCTTGGGAGGGTGGGGGGCACCAGTGCTCCCGCCTGCCACCCCTGTCCAATGCCTAAGCAGGGAACTCTGGCTGTCAGGGTGTGCACCAGTGCTCTCAGGGAGTGTACGTACATCCCCATGTGTCCCCTACTCATTGCCACTGGTCCACATGCTCTAGGCTACAGAGCTGTTTTCATTATAGCCCAGTAGTCTCGGGTGGGGGGGTCGTGGACTTCTTACTATTTCATTTTACAGCACACTCCAGGCATAGCTGCTCTTTAGTCATGCCTGACCAGTGCCTTTCCCAAGTCTTCTTGAAAACCTCCAGTGACAGGGATTCCACAACTTCCCTAGCCAGTCTGTCCCACTGCCTCACTGTTCTAACACTGAAGAAGTTTTTCCTGCTATTTCATTGAACATACTTGCTTGCAACCTCCAGGCATTGGGCTGCATCCTATTCTTTGAAGCTACAAGGAAAAGGTGTTTTCCCACTTCTTCATGGCAGCCTTTCAAATATTTGAAGGCCTCTATCATATTCCGTCTTCATCACCTTTTGTGCTAGGTGAACATGCCTCTTTCTTTCAAACTTTTCTCATATGGCTTACTTTCCAAGCCCTTTTCACCCACCTGTGAACCATCTCTAAGTTCTCCATGATGCCCTTTTTAAAATGTGGGTCCCAAAACTGCATACACTGCTCTTAGATGATGCCAAGCCAGTGCTGGGTATGAGAAGAACTAAATGACAAGCATTATCTGTGGACCAGTAGGCAATGTTTATGCAGATACTTGGGCTGGCTAAAATTGAGTGACTGATTAGCAGACTTCTGGGCATTTTTCCTGGCTCCTAGGCTGGCTGGCAAAGGGAGGTGGGAAAGCAGGAGGTGAGTGTCCTATGATAAATGCATGAACAGCCTAAACCCAATATTATTGTACATATTGATTAGAGTGCATGCTGCGTACGAGTATCACTACAGGCTACACATCTGTAGACACCTATTAGTGCCTACACCCTCCAGTCACCCCTTACTCACTAATCTTGTCCACCATGTCTTGATGTCAAAATGAATAGGGGAGGCTGCACAGAGGTCAAGGCACGCTTTTGAAGAGGTGAGCCATGTCTGCTTCAAGGTCCCTCCCCTGCCCCCAGCCTTGTCCCAATATTACTCTTGCTGAGCCCTCTAGATCAGGGCCCTTTATTAAGGACTGCAAGTTCCTGATTTAGCTCTGGTCACACCACACGACCTCAGGTTCCAGCACCTTCAATATCAGCAACATAGGCAACTAGGGGGCTTGAATCCTGCTTTCCGCCTGCCACCTCCTGCCTTACAGTGCCAGCAAACTCGACTTCATGTGGCCAAGAAACATACATTTAACATTTAACCCCCTTGCTTTATAGTCCAGGCAAGTTCAGCTGTATGTGGCCACAGAATCTACTCCAGTCCTTATCTCCTGTCCATTCAGCACAATTTCAAGTTCAGGGTGTCCAGAGTCACCCCTTTTCAGTGGCCTCCACTTCCCCTACTGCCACAACCTAGGCCTCTCGGGAACAGGAAAACTACAAAATACAAGCACCAGTCCTGGTTCAAAGGAATGCCCAGCATGGGGTTCATCATGTCTCTGGGTGGTGGACTCCAAGTAGGAAAGAAAACAAAACAGAAAGTGCCTGAGGTGCTCAGCTTGCTTCCTATGAAGAGCCCCAAGCTTCTCTTCATTCAGGGCTGCCTTCTGAGTCCTCTCACCACAGTCTGTGCTCCGGTCCTGACACCTCTCAGAGAAAGTCCCATCCCTGGAGGCTTCCACAGCCAGATGGCCTGCCCTGGCCTGAGGCTTGGTCTTATACAGGGCTTGCTGGGTGACAAGACCCCTCTACTTCTGCCCCTGGGTTATCAGGCTCTGCCTGCACCTAGATCTCATGACCAACTTTCTTTAGGTTCCTCTGCCTGTGAGTTTGCCTTTGGCATCACCACTGCAGTGCAGGCAGAAGAGACATGGAGATGAATTGGAAGGAAGGGAGAGCAAAGCGGGGAA